CTTTTACTCGATTTAAGTCCATGCGGAATCATCACATTCTGTCACATTCATTTAATTTATTTAGTATTCGATTTCATTGTCATTTTTTTTTGAATGCTAAAATTCTGAAATTTTGTTATTTCTTGGGAAAAATACTTTCTGAAATTCAGAAAATAGTTATGAAATTTGCTCAATTGATAGTAGTTTCAGCAACAAGATTACTAATGTTAAGGATCTGTGTATACATTTCAAATAACACCATAGAAATAAGACATAATTTTACTAAATTTTAGCAGAATGTTAGCTGAAATGTAAAATGTAAATGAAGAAAAGAGAAATCCTAGTCAAAATATACTTTCTCAATAATAAGATGATTTACCCTATGACGATTTTCCAAATTCAGAGCGTTTTTTTCAGCGTATGAAATATCAGCATAATCTGATTGTCATCGCAGCCACATTTAACTTTTATGATTCAGATAAATATGTTGAGTGCCAATTTGTTTTTTTTTTTCTAACTGAGAATAAGCTGGATCGTTAGTCGCATCTTGAATTTGATCTTTTGTGTTGGCGTTAATTAAGAATGCTTGAAGGAAGTTTAATTTCCGTATTGACAGCAGCGAAAAAGACAAATACAATGAGCCACTGAGCGCTAAATCAGCAGAGACGCAACCGCAAGTGGAACCGCCTGTCAAATCAATTGCAACATGCAACATTGGGGCACAAACCGAAACCGAAACCGAAACCGAAACAGAAACAGAAACCGATGCTAAGCCCAGGGGCCAAACCTAAATCGCCATGTGGAGAATGAGAATGACCTGTGCTTAGCCCAAAATTTCGATACGGCTGCTGTTGGTGGTTGGTTGGTTTGGTTTCGCCCAGTACAACGTGGTGCTGGGGTGGCTCAAGCTCGAGCTCAATCTGGATGTGAATGCGAATGCGAATGGTTTACGCTCCATATGCCACGTGCGTAGACAAAAGTCATTTAAAAATTTAAGACATTGCCGTAGCAAAGTCGACAGCCAAATGTAAAACCAAGTCAAATTCCTGGTATAAAATTCATTGAAAAATTTTATGCAACATAAATTTTGCGTGCAGGATTTGGAAATGCCGTCGAGGCCGAGAACTCAATCACATGCAAGTGGACGGGCGGTCTTGTTTTTTTTTTTCTTCCTTAAGGGGGGTGTGCGGGTGCGTGTGTCATTTCAATTTTAAAGCCAAGGAGCGGCCCTTTCCTCTGCAACAACAACAACAAAATACAAAAAAAAAAAAGTATCAAAAACAAGGAAAAAGCGCCCCCAAACCGCTTAAGAAGTGGCTCTTGGCATACGGCAGGACGAACAACATTTTGGGTCGACTGGCAGGTCCTTGTTGGTCGGACGGTTGGACGGTGGGACAGCTTGGCTTTTGTCGTTGTTGGTTTTTATAGCTTTTTGATTTGCCATTTCTGGTAGCAAATGATCAAAAATTGAATGAAATTGTTATTTTTCAAGTGGAACATGTCCTTTTTTAGTACTTGCCTCACGAGGGTTTCACAACTTGTGCTTGTCCTGTTGCGGGTTGTTATCCTTAATAAGGGGCATCATTTCCACGGCATGGGCAGCCCGGCAGCCTGTTCCCAGGAATGCAGCGGCACTGCACTTACCAAGCATACTCATCATCATCAACGACATGTTTATCATCCTCAGCAGCAGCCGAGATCCATGCGAGCTGCTTCTGCTTCTGCTTCATATCCCTATGTTGCTCAGTTTGGAAAATGTACAAAATTTCCAAGCGATAAAATGTTATCATGGTTGCCAAAGATTTGCTTATGTAGCTGAGCAGGTGGCGTTTGTGGCAGGTGGGCGTTGGGAGTTGGCAGTTGGTTTGGCAGGTTGCAGCCACACCCTCAACATACTGTCAGCATATTCCGAGTGCCCAAGAACGCGAAAAACAATTAAAATATTTGCCTAAATTACACACAGACAAACATGTGTGGTGTGTGTCTGTTTAGGTTTTGGGAAGGAGCAACTTAACCCTTTAGTGACCAGGATCGTCTTTTGACGGTCAAAGTGTACTTTCGCTGTTATTCGCTTATTTTCAAAGTCCTATAAAAAGTCAGAACTTTTATTTGGAATAAGTATAATATATATATGCATTAATATTTATTTTTAACTCTGACCAATTTCGATGTATTTGTATTATTTTGAAATTTACACTCTTTGATAATGGTTTCTGCGAATTTCATTTAATATACTCATCAGCATTGCTGACGCCATTAAATCAACAGCATTAGAGGGTTAAAACCAAGTCCGGGCAGATGGCCAGCTAGTAGCTAAAGTGCACAATATGGAAATCTAGGAAAAGTTTCTTCTCTTTTTTTTTTGCGTCGTGCCAACCACAAATATTAATAATTATGAATTTATGAGCCAATATTTATTAGCAATAAAAACAAGCTGGCGACCAAAGACTGACCAAAGCAACCCCCGTCCGCAGCCAAACTCCACAATGTAGTCCCAGGCAAAGATTAGACGCTCTCTGAAGCGTCGCTAATGAACTTTAATTACCAGCTTGATGAGTCGAGCGAGGGCTCAATAGCAGTTGGCAAGGGGCAAAGGGCGGGAAATTGGACACATGTGGACAAATCTTGAGTTGGTTGGGGCAATCTGTATCCACACATCCACACAATACGCATATATTATATATATATATATATATATATATACGCACTTGATTCTGCCAACTGAAATTTGAAATTCTATCGGAATATTTCTCATTTGAACTAATTCTTAACTATTTATAGTAATCAGTTAACTTGCTAATTTTAAAAGTATTTCTGCTTTTTTATTTATCATTTACATTGGGAATATTGTTAGAAACTAGTGAAAAGTCATAAAAAAAAATAATTTGACAGAGAGATAATTATTGACGACTCTAATTTCATATATATATAAGTGTAGAAGAAAATTCTTGAATACTTTGGTTTGCTGCCACTAAAGGTTTCTTCATCTTGCAATCTAACTATAAACATATGAAATATGAGCTGAGTTTAAATTCTCATAATTTCTTAGGGTATTCGAATTTAATCAAGAAACGTATATCGAATTCACTAAGTCATCTTTGAGTTAATCGAATATGTACTCGATAAATATAGTTAAGCTGACATTTCAATCATTAAGCTGTTTTGTTGTAACTTGGCTCAAATGTCCCTTTATACGGAACATTTGAGGTATATTTGCAAGCGTATTAATTATTAAATCGTCGGGCTTTCGTATAAAAATTGTCCTAAGAGTTATACAATCCAGGAAGCAGTTTAAAAACTATATTTTCTAATGCAGTTGTAGATCTTAAATAGTCTTGACTTTGAACTGATTGATCAAGGCCAGTATTCTAAAAATATTTATAATACTTACGCTGACTTCTAGCTGAGTATTACATGAATGCTTTAACTCCGGTTTCAGCTCTTACTTCTCTTGATGATGAATAGCTACACTTGTCGACCAGTTTGAACTCTGGCTCGAGCCGACATATCAGTCTAAAAGTAAGAGCATCGGTTAGTCAAGTGTTGCATCAAATTTTGGAAAACAAAATCAAGGAACAAATAAAAAACAAACACAAATAAATGTAGCAATTTTTAATTGCTCCCGTTTGAAGTTGTCTGAGCGATCCGAGGGTGGCGGGATGGATCGGTTTTCGGGGTCTGGGCCTGGCTAACATTTAGCTCATGCACGTGTATGTGTGTGTGTGTGTGAGTGTGTGTGTGTGTGTGGATTTTTATTATATTTTGTGTGGCGGTCGCTTGGCCGGCTTGTTGGCCATGTTTTATGTGTTTCGTTTCCATTGAAAACCCCAAAGAGCAGAAAGAAACAAAAATTATTTGTAAACGGCGGCTGTGACAATTTTGTTTTTTTTTTTGTGTGTCTGTCTGTCTGTCTGTCGCGGTGGCTCTTGTTGGCGTTCCGTGGAAGTTTGTAGACGTTGCCACTAAAACCGAAGACCAAAAACAAAAATTAATTGGAAATTTGTATGTCTCAAACATGTTGTAAGCACTGAGCAACCGCAACAGCAGCGGTGGCAACAACAAGGCGCAAGTTCGAGGTTAATTGTTTGATTTTCTAACAACGACAAAATAAAAATAAATACATATACATAAATAATTTGTAAGGTTAATCTCAAGAGGAGAGCGCTACCTGAAGCAAGGCGGTCCAAAAAGCCACAGGAAATGTTTGTTTTTGCCTTTGTTGCTCGTTTTGTTACACATTTCTCGAGCCGCGCTTCCGGGCCGCTCTTTATTGTAACTGGCAACTGGAATTTATGGCCTACATGCCACAAATTAATGGCCGCAAAATTGTTAGCCACTCGCAGTTGACAGTTGCGAGAGAGACACTCATACATACATCTGTGCATGTGACTTGCCATCAATCGATTCATCCATATCATGAATATATAGTGTGCTTATTGATCAATACGTTTATGAAGTGATTTGTGCACAACTGGGACTGCAACAGACTCTGCCACTATCCAAACTTACTCTTCAGCTCAGTGCTCGGATTATTTCGACGAATCGCACCAATTTGTTTACAATTTGAAATTATCAAATCAGCGAAAAAGATTACGCACACGCCTTGCACAATTTAGGTGACGTCATTAATAATACTTGACTGATTTAATAAACGAGTATTGAACTGGTGAACAAATACAATTTTCTATTTTTACTTTCATTTTTCCCTCGAACTTGATATTTCTCTGTTTTTCTCCAGACTCAATATATTCTTTACTTTATTGATGTTTTCTTTAATCTCAAATTTATAATTTGCACTTCTTCTGTTTAAATTTATATAATTTAATTTTTGAATTTGTTGTCATTATCACATTAGAAAATACGCACAAATGTATGTTTTCATTTCTATTTTTGCCTCATTGCATTTCGATTGTCTCAGCAAATGCAAGCATGCGAAATATACTTCTGTCACCAGCAAGTTGGCAGCCCCGAAGCTCATCGCCAATGCTCGTAATCAAAGTTGGCTTATTTCGCCACTGGCAACCGCAGCTCTGCCACGTTCTGATTGATCAGCGAGCAAGTGTTTGAAATTAATGTGCGTGATATTCGATTAAGGCAAATAGAATTCAACTTTGAATTGTTTGCAGTAGCGTGGATCACGGGTAAGTCAATGTCGTCTGTGGCACATAATTGTGTAAGTGTAAAGATATTTTAGATAAAGATATATGGTATATATAAATAAAAGTGTATGATGATGTTGTGCAAAAAGTTCATATATACAGTGTCTCACAGCTCAAAAGACACTGGGTCTTTTACTGTTGGGAGACTGGGCCTGTGGAATTATCATGTGGGGGCAGTTCCAGATATGGCAGGACTGTACTAATCCGGACTTATGCTTGGATGTTGTCCTGGTCGTTGTCGTGGTAGATCTGGAAAGTACGTCGGATTCCTAGCTTCTTGGCACTTTGGAGTAAATTTTCCTTTAATATATTGAAATACACACTCTTGTCCATTGTTGTTTCAAAAAACACAAAATTTCCGACGCCGGCTTCCGAGATAGATGCCCATACAATGACACTTCCTCCGTCGTGCTTGACTGTTGCCTTTAGGATTTTGGGACTCAGCTCAGTATTGGACAGTCGCCACACATAATTCCGTCCGTCTAAGCCAAAAATGTTGAATTTGGGCTCATCTTCAAATATGAATGTGTTCCAGAACTCCAAATCCTTGTCCAAGTGGGTTTTGACGAATGTCATCCTAGTTCCTTTATTTTGTGCGCTTATAAAGGGCTTCTTCCGTGGTACAAGGGCATTAAAGTCATGTTTGCGCAGAACCCGGCGCACAGTTTCCACATTGCACTTTTTCCCCATTTCATCCTCCACCTGTGGAGTCAGTTTTGGAGCCGATAGCTTGGGATTTTCCCTTATTTTCCTGATGATCCTCCGCTCCTCCTGTTCGGTGAAAATCTTGTTTGGTGCATTTCTGCCCTTGTCCTCTATCCGATTTTCGTCGACGAAGCGCCGAATGATGTTGAATACAGTTGTGGTGCTTAGATTTACCATTTTAGCTATTTGGCGATGTGAATATCCAATCTTGAAGTGTTCCAGGATGAGATTCCGTTACTCAATGGTAGTCCGTTTGTCCATAGTCCTTGTTGGGTGGTGGCACACGAGATTCAGGATATAACTAAACTGACTACGAAGGATTGGTCTATTTATTCCGAAAATAATCAACTTGACGTAAAAAATCCGTGTTTTATGGCACCTAGGTGTCCATAACGCCATTGTTCCAAATAATATGTAACCATAAATTAAGGTACTTTTTTAGATAACCCGACCTAGCAGGTGGGGAAACCCCAGTTTATGGGGGTCATATAGTCATTTGGGTGTTTAATATATGTACCTACCATCGGTATTTGGAATTTTTGAAAAATGTTGGATAATTAGTTTATGGCAAGCAATTAAATTTTTTGCTAGACACTGGGTCTTTTGAGCTGTGAGACACTGTATGTCTTCTTCAGTATCAAAAGTCGAGGTGATCTAGCCATCTATAAACAAACTTGCAAATTTCTGTGAACTTGTGTACAGAAATGCATCCATTCAAACGATTTATATATATTATTTATAATAAGAATAAGAAACACTCACTTCATTAACTCAAACATATTATTGGATTTATTGGCGTTGCCAGGCTTAGGCAGGGGGCAGCTGCATAAATAAAAATATAAATTGGTTTACACATTTATTTACCTAAAAGTTGATACTCACTGACTACGCCCTTGATTTCAGTGTGAGTAAAACCACGGGCCAACTTAGTTTTTTTTTTTTGATTTGTTTATCTGGATTTGGGGTACCTTCTAGCCGAGCTTTCTTGTTGTTTATCACTTGCTGAAATGCGAGACGCGTCGTTGATGGGTTTTGCCTACTGGAACATTCCTTAAGCTGAACTAATAAAATAAACAAATCGAGCATTGATCATGTTTTTGTTTATTGCAACTCAAGTTTAATAAAATACCCTTATACATTTGTCCACGGAATGGCGCCAGAAATTATACAAGTTGTCGTCGTGTTGTGTGTGAGTGCCTATTAGTATATCATGATGCTATTTGCAGCGTCAGGCCGTGCCTCGTCTTACAAGCACAGTTGCAAACCCAAACCCAAACCCAATCCCGATTCCAATTCCAATCCCAGTCAGTTCGCCTTGTTGCCTGTCAGCCAGGGTAGCCACGTGCGCTGCGATCACGGTGCAGGCGGGGGCAGCCGGTGGTTTCCTGTCGCCAGTGGACAAATGCTGCTCGGGGCACCTAAAAAGGCGACGAATATTCGATAGTCGGACAAGCTGATCAAACAGTTCAGCTATTTTGCATATATAGCCCAGGACTTTGGGGTCCATTGATTTCGATAGCTGATTCGGTTATAATTATTATTTGTATTATATATTTTTATATAGTTTTCATGCTTTTTTTTTATTTTCTATTACATAACCTATAATTTTTGTGTTTCTATGGAATAAATGTACAATATTTTTCCTAATTTATTAATTTCAAATGCCAATTTGAGATAGTTTTCTATTGAAAATGTGGAAATAATGTTTGACAATATTTCAATATATAAGAGTCCTCGCAGATGTGTGTAGAATAAATATAACTCAAGTTGATATTTGCTGACCCATAAACAGGTGCGTAATGTCCGGCAGATAGATGTGTAGGGTATCAGTTTGCTGCTTTTGTGAATGACTTGAGTTGGGCTGCTCACGTTGGGTTTTCGCTGGTTGGTTTCGCTTGTCGTCTCCAGCAGCAGCAGCAGCAGCAGAAGCTAGGTAGTTGTTTGGATTGTTTATTTAAGTTTCGCTCTTCCGGCTGATGCTGCCTGGCTTTATGGTTATGGATACAGAGATACAAAGAGATACACAGTAGCCGTAGCCAGGCAGCCCCAAACAGAGACCAACAAGTCCGAGCTGGGCAGAGAGCAACAGTAGCAATGAATTTGCATGTAGTACATGAAAACCGTGATCTTCAATTTGTTGACTCTGCTGGCTGGCTGCAGCCAGTCGAATTAAGTGGAGTCGCTTCGCATCGCATTGCCATTGCGAGAGCTATGGGCCAAAGGGGTACTCCACTCGCTGCAGCGAATTGAATCGCAAACAGGGCCTCGATCTTGGAGTCGCGTACTTTGGCTACATGCCAAAAAGTTTGTAACATTAGTTTAAGGTGCCGGGACTTGAAGCTGCCCGTCCCCCTTCCGCTTCCCGTCCCCCCGTTTGCCGCCAGTTGCAAGTTGTCAAGCTTGCCATGGCAAATTTGCGATCAAGCGACAACAACAGTGACAACATGAGCCCAGTGACGACCATCGTCCGCTAACCGCAGTCAGCAACACACACAGCAAGCTGTGAACTGTGAGCTGTGAGTTGGGCTTCTTGGGTTTCAACTGTGTACATCACGTTGCCTTGTATCTGACCAAGCTGCCACAGCGCCTGGGCACGCAGCGATCTTCGTCTGTTCGTCTGTTGTTCCATCCAACTCTCCAACAGCTCTCAGCTCCCAGCGCCAACATCAACTTCATCTCCAGCTCCGACTTGGACTTGGACTTGGACTTGGACGGTGTGTGACTCCCTAGCGAGCCTGCAGCTTGGCCGGCAGCCAGTCAGCGACGCGGCCGAACTTTATTGACCATATTGATTGCTGCTGTATTGATCGCTTGTAACTGATAACAAATAAATGGCCTGGCCACAATCAGCACAGTTGGGTGCTTCACACACCTAGTTCCAGCTCCATGTTGCATACAGTTTTGGTGTTCACTCTGTTAATGATATTGCCAGTTTACACGGTGCAACCCAAAATCCGGCATACAGTAAAAGCAGTCAAATAGTGTCAACAAAATATACAAATATATTCTGTGCTCAAATAAAAACAAATGATCTGGACCTACTTACATATTTAGGTATATTTTTAGGTGATCATCGGCATTATCACTTACTATTTAGTTATTAATCTATTTCATATATATATAGTTCAATAATACCCATGTGGAAGACATAGATTTTGAGGTGATGTTATCGCAATTCAATCATAAATATTTATCTATACAAACAATATGAATATCATATAAACCCTTTGTATGTCAGCATAATAATTCTGCATAGTTGCTTAATTTGTTGGCAGTAGTCAGCACAAATCTTATTTGTATTACTTAATTTGTACATACATATTTAATTCACATTAATCACATGTCCTGGTAGGAATGTGATTCGAGCCCATAGCCAATAGAAACATAATGTTGGTTTGTAGACACTTGAAATGGAGATGGAGAACCAGAAGCCATTCTGTGGCCAAATGAATATGATATCTGAATAGCAGTCAGACAGCAGTTTAATGGTCACGTGTAAACGTGGCCCAAGTCTAAAGACGGCTACTGACTGAGTCGGCCCAAAAACAGCAGGCGGTGTCTGTTGGCTGCTGGCTGTGACTGCTTCTTGTTGGCTGCTAGCTGTCTATCTGTCTGTTTGTCTCTCTGTCTGGCTGTCTGCCACGTTTGCATATTCATAATTTCGAGCTGGATTTATCAATTGCTCATCTCAGTCATGAAAACGCATAAACATTTCAAAGTGCTTGGAGCGGGTCAATAATTTGACATGAACGAAACAATACGCAGAATCTTGCATAAATAACTTGATGCTCAGTTTTTGCTCTTGGACAGCAGTCTCTCTGTGTGTGTGTGTGTGAGTGTGTGTGTGTGTTTTTGTTTTGTTTTTAAAATTCACATGACCCACCCACCGCTTTCCCTTCGCTCCACCGCTGTTCAATGATGTGTGCTGCTGCCTGAACTGAGCGACTGCATCAAAAGCTGGAAGCCTGGCCGGGCTGTGGAGAGTTGTCTACAAACAACAGGCAAGCAAACACTCAGCGTTTCCAGCTGCTGAAGAGCCAAGCGCGCTGAGATCAAGAGCAGCAGCTTGCCAGCGCCAAAGATTATAAGAGAGAGAAAGGCGACTGTTGAGCAGCGATGAGCTCAGCTGAGCTGAACTATCACCAAGTGCCGTTTCGTATGGAATTCAATTTCGTTGTTGTTGTCAACGTGACGCCCACACACACACACACACACACACACACACACATACACACACACACACAATGGAGTTGATGTCAAAAGAAAAGAAAAAGAAA